GCTTCTAGAACATGGCCATACAGTCCGAAAAACCTACAACAACCCAGTTTCCACATTAACATTAAAACTGCTTAAATTAGCTTCCTGACATTAAAAAGGGGTGTTACAAAGTCAATTAACTCATTAAATGGGGGGCCTTGATTCACACTAATCAGTGACTGATCCGCATTACTCAAAAATGTTGGCATCTAACAGTTAAAATGACAATAATGTAGCAGGGTTATTTCTTAGCTCTGGTATGATTTCAACATAACAGAAACTGTGACAACGATATTTTAGATTGTATTACATTGTTTTCTATGTATTACATTGTTTTCTATACTCCAGACTTATGGGTTGTTTGGACTTCGGTTCCCAGAATCCCTGAACACTAGCCAAGGCAGCTGAGGCTCTAAGGAAATGAAGTCCAAAACACGTGGGGAACTAACGTTTGGGAATCACTGCTGTATTATTTTAGATGGCCTGTTAAAACACATCATTAAAGACACAAACCTAGACTCTTCTATTACAATAATGGTTCTCAACCTGTGGGTTGAGATGTATCCATTTAAGAAAATGGTTTAAGCACATGAGCAACTTCGCAGCATAACATGCTGCCTACTACTGGTGGCACAAGGAATGTTAAGAAGACATGCTCCAGCTCTGGAGCTCCAATTCCACTGTAATCTAGTTGTGTTTTGAGTGCAAAGGTCAGGAAGATTGTGCCATTTAGCACAACACACCCTGATCGGACTCTCTATCACATGCTGGTGTTTAAGTCCCCAATTCTCAGAAGCCCAGATATCAGGAATTCTGGAAGCTGAGGTCCAAAACAGCTCAGGTGTTTTGGACTACAACTCCCAGAAATCCCAGCCATTGTACCAGATGTTAGGACTTCTGGGAGTTGAAGGCCAAAACATCTGGGGACCCACAGGTTGAGAACCACTGTATTAAAAGAACCAGAGCATCATGGAGGGAGATTGTATTGAAGTTCCCCATTATTTCGGTCATTGTTTTCATAACAAACAATAATGGAGCATTGAAATGGATTCTCCCAGCCAAAGCGACAACCCTACCACTTGGACACCATCATGGAGGGAGATTGTAGCAAAGTTCCCAATTATTTTGGTCATTGTTTTCATAACAAACAATAATGGAGCATTAAAATGGATTTTCCCAGCCAAAGCGACAACCCTACCACTTGGACACCATCATGGAGGGAGATTATATTGAAGTTCCCAATTATTTCAGACATTGTTTTCGTATCAAACAATAATGGAGCGTTAAAATGGATTTTCCCAGCCAAAGTGACAACCCTACCACTTGGACACCATCATGGAGGGAGATTATATTGAAGTTCCCAATTATTTCAGACATTGTTTTCGTATCAAACAATAATGGAGCGTTAAAATGGATTTTCTCAGCCAAAGCGACAACCCTACCACTTGGACACCATCATGGAGGGAGATTGTAGCGAAGTTCCCAATTATTTTGGTCATTGTTTTTGTAACAAACAATAATGCAGCATTAAAACGGATTCTACCAGCCAAAGCGACAACCCTACCACTTGGACACCATCATGCAGGGAGATTATAGCGAAGTTCCCAATTATTTTGGTCATTGTTTTCGTAACAAACAATAATGGAGCATTAAAATGGATTTTCTCAGCCAAAGCGACAACCCTACCACTTGGACACCATCATGCAGGGAGATTATAGCGAAGTTCCCAATTATTTTGGTCATTGTTTTCATCACAAACAATAATGCAGCATTAAAATGGATTCTCCCAGCCAAAGCGACAACCCTACCACCTGAGCACACTGTGTCAATCTGTCATTACAACAGTGATGGGAAGCATGAAGGTCTCCAAATAGACTGCAAGACTAAGTATCCCCCAATAGCAATGGTAAAGGGTGCTTGGGGTGGCATTTCAGCAGCTGGAAGGCCATACATTCCCCATCCCTAAGATTCCAGTCCCTAACACACTACGATCCCATAACTTCCCGCTTGAGAGCATCTCTGAGGAATCTACGGTCCGGATCTGTTTCCTCAATCCCATCCATGTTTTACAAAACACAAAAAATATACATATATACCACTCAAAACATGGTGTTATTTGAAGACTGGCTATCGTCACTATGGTCGCATGTCAAACAATGGGTACAAAGTCCAACAAGTTAAGCTTGATACATCTTACTTTCCTTTCCAAATATATATTTTTAATGTCTGTCTGGATGCAAGGTCCTTGTTTAAAAAAATAAATAAAAACATGCAACAAAACATCAGCTAAATAAATTGAAGTAAGGAATGGACGAAGCAAGGGAGAAGTTCACCATAAGCCATTAATATCTTCAAATGCTCCTTATTAGGGTGGACCACGTAGTACCTGTGTATTATCAATTACAAGCAGAAGATTTTGGTGGGATACACTGGAAACATCAAATTCTGAGGTGAGGAAGCATGCAAATGGCCAGGCTCATGAGCCCAGATGATGAGATGAAGCAAGGAATGATGGAAACACAACCCAGGGCGTGAGCAACTTTGCAGCACATCAAAATTGGCCAAACTCATACAAGTCCAGGGCACACCTCTCATACCTTTATTTAGCCGTTCCAATCAGTCAAAGGGATTTAGCCTCTCAAATACCACTCCTCAAATAAATGGAGAGGGTGCGAGAGAGAAGAGTTCAAAACCTCTCACTCTTTGTAGGCTCCTAGCACAATGCTTGTGTGTCAAGCAATCTCCATGTTACCCTGCTGTAAACCCTATAACACTCTAACCATACTAAGATGTGTTTTCTAAGTTTCTACAATCTCTAGAAGCTAGGACATATATTTAAGGGGTCCATTTGGCAACTAGGTTTTTTGTCATAAGCCATCATAATTTTTCTAAAGAGACTAGCCGTCCCCTGCCATGGGTTGCTGTGGCCCAGTCTGTGTATATGTACTTTGTGTGTATATGTGTGTATATATTTGTGCTTGTGTTTGCGTATGTTTGCGTGTGTGTGTGTGTATGGTTTTGCACATGCGCTGTAATTTATTTATTTATTTATTTAGGCTTTTAAAGTCCCTTTTGCTATGTTTTTCAGTGTTTTTATGAGTGATAATCACTCATCGGTCTGATAGGTGTCTTGTGTCCAAATTTGGTGTCAATTCGCCCAATGATTTCTGAGTTATGTTAATCCCACAAATGAACATTACATTTTTATTTATATAGACTAACCATCCCCTGCCACACGTTGCTGTGGCCCAATCTGTGTATATGTGCTTTGTGTGTGTATATATTTGTGTATATGTGTATATATGTGTGTTTGCGTATATATATGTATATGTGTGTGGTTTTATGCATGTGTTGTAACGTTTATTATTACTTTTGGCTTTTTAAGTCCCTTTTGCTGTGTTTTTCAGTGTTTTTATGAGTGATGGTCACTCATTGGCTTGATAGGTATCTTGTGTCCAAATTTGGTGTCAATTTGCCCAGTGATTTCTGAGTTATGTTAATCCCACAAACATTGCATTTTTATTTATATACACTAGCCGTCCCCTGCCACGCGCTGTTGTGGCCCAGTCTGTGTATATGTGTTTTGTGTGTATGTGTGCGTATATGTGTATTTATGTGCTTATGCGCATACGTTGTAATGGAACATATTTTTTTATTTTTTGGCTTTTTAAGTGTTTTCCACTGTGTTTTTCAGTGTTTTTATGAGTGATAGTCACTCATTGGCCTGATAGGTATCTTGTGTCCAAATTTGGTGTCAATTTGCCCAGTGATTTCTGAGTTATGTTAATCCCACAAACATTAGATTTTTGGTTGTTGTAGGTTTTTCCGGGCTATATGGCCATGTTCTGGAGGCAATTTTTCTCCTGACGTTTCGCCTGCATCTGTGGCAAGCATCCTCAGAGGTAAGACCTCATTACCTCTGAGGATGCTTGCCATAGATGCAGGCGAAACGTCAGGAGAAAAATTGCCTCCAGAACATGGCCATATAGCCCGGAAAAACCTACAACAACCCATGGATTCCGGCCATGAAAGCCTTCGACAATACATTCGATTTTTATTTATATACACTAGCCGTCCCCTGCCACGCACTGCTGTGACCCAGTCTGTGTATATGTGCTTTGTGTGTGTATATGTGTATGTATATATTTGTGTATATGTGTGTGTTTGCGTGGTTTTACGCATGTGTCATAATGTATTTTTATGTTTTGGCTTTTTAAGTCCCTTTTGCTGTGTTTTTCAGTGTTTCTACGAGTGACGGTCACTCGTTGCCCTAATAGGTGTCTTGTGTCCAAATTTGGTGTCAATTCATCCAATGGTTTTTGAGTTATATTAATCACACAAACGAACATTACCTTTTTATTTATATAGATGGTCTCCAATTGAAGGTCAACTAATGGTTAACTCTTTAGTGATTAGATGATCGTTGGAATCTGGAACCACCAGGAGAAACAAGAGCAGAAGAACGCACAAAGAAGTGAGCGTTTGGCCTCAAAAACCAAGGACGGACTGACACGGTAATACTCAACATCCCAAGATTGCTGGGTCAACATGGCCGGGTCAACATGGCCGTAATAAGGTGTAGCCATGGGGAACTGAGAGCTTGTGGGAAGAAACCGTGAAGGACAATCTAAATTTAAAATAAGGCATCTCAAAACCGAGTACGACACAACACATGGGAGCAAGCAAACACACACTTCAAAAAGGAAAACAGACAATCCTTCCGTTCTGGAATAGAGTGAGAATACTCAACCCGCCAGAACAGCACGCGATACAGCCCACCACCTTGAAATTCCCCATGGACTTAGCAGCACAAGTGACCTTCCTCTGAATTAGAAAAGAAGGGTTAATAATAAACAGGTTTGGTCTTGGATCATTATGGACGTGGTTCCCTCTAAAGTCAAGGAGACCACGGATCCAGTTTTGGAAATATCCAGTTTAGACCCCGTATTCCTTCCTTCCTTCCTTCAATAACTAAACCCAATCCTTCATTTAGTGAAGACGGAAAATAAAGCAGCAGCAGCTCTCAAGAAATTCACTTTATCCCTCCTTTAAAAGAACAATGGAAAGGGGAAAAGAAAGACATGGAATGAGTTTCGATGGTAACATAAGCCAAAGTTCTACTTTTCAATGTTTGCCATTTTTTTTTTCACATCTCCCACATTGTGTACAAAACAAGGGGGGGTGGGTTCCCAAAATGTGTACGAATGGCAGAGTGAGTAGGTTCTGTGGAAAGGTTAAAGGGGAAAAGAGACTGACGACAAAAAGAGAATGGTGGGGAGAACTGGACCGAGGCCTCCACAAGGCCTTACCCCGATGATGGTTGCCCGCAGTAACCGTCACAGGCTCTAAAAGAAGCAAAAAGGGGTCTTCAAGTGCCCCCACCCTCTCCCATGACCCGCTAAGCGGACGGTGTTCCTCCCGCGGTGCAATCGCTTTAACCCAAGCTGGTGATATTGGCACGGCCCCCGGGAGGTGCCACAATGCGCTGCGTGGTGCGGCGTGGGATGTTATCGTCGATCTGCGCACCTGCAAAAGGAGAAGACAGAAAAGAGAGAGGCACGTAAGCCCACTGAAAACACGGACATCGAATTAACCATTTTGTTGTCATCCTACACTGAATGTGCTCTATGTGTCTCCAGCCCAACAGAGTTGCACTCAAGGGTGCCTATTAGGCATGGGCAATCCATGGTTCTAAATGGTTCTAAAGTACTTAGAAAACTAAAGTTCTGGTGGTGAAAACTAGGGGGCGCTGGTGCTTTGCTTCTCCAGTGTTGCTAAAGTTCTGGTGGTGAAAATTTAAGAACTCTAAAGAATTTTTCAAAATTTCATTATTATTTTGTTATTGGTGATTTTTTAAATTACACTGTTCAACGGAGAAAAAGTTGCGGGCCTGAAAATAGTTGCTCTTTTATGATTTTGGGGTGCTGAAAACAAAAATGACATTTAAAAATGTATATTGGCTCTAGTTTTTATGATATAAGCAATCATGTGATCACGTTAAAAAAATGCATGTTGCGACTTACACTATGGAAGATTCTAGAATATTCTAGAAAGTTTGATGACGCAGTATTAGTGCCGTGTGCAAAAGGCAGAAAGCCCTATATAAGGCCAGACTTTTGAACGGTGAGGGTCAGTCAGCTGAAGACTGAGACAGTATCGTTAAACATGGTTTTACATTGTTCTTTTTACTGTCGTTATGCCTCGCACGTGTGTAAATAAAGCACTCTGGAAAAAAGATATCAAGGCCAATGGACTCCGTCCATGCTGTCAGACTCCTGCTGGAGCATTCATTGGAAGAGGGAATCCTTTCCTTGAATACAAAAGAAAAGTCAAGAGAAGCAAACAGGATATAAACTAAAGTCACGATTAAAGCGACATTTAAACTTTCAGACTTTTCAACTGCATTAGGCCTACTAATAGAGTTTCTTGCTGCAGAAACATAAACGATAGACTAATTAAATAAATATTTCTCATGTATAAACTATTGGCAATATAATTTGACTAAAATTTAGTAAATATTCACGGTTTATATACATGCAGTAAGGTTAGGCGCATTATCATAATATTAAAGAATTATCTATTGTGGAGAAAATTGAAATAGCTGTTGCATAAAAACCAGAGCCAATTAACACATTTAATTATTATATTTGAATTCAGCATGTTAAATTTATTAAGAAACGGCACATTTCGTTTCCGAAACTGAAAAAACTGAAAATTTGTAGAACAGTGTTATTATTTTTTAATTTTTGTCGTGTCAAGTAGCGACTTGAGAAACTGCAAGTCGCTTCTGGTGGGAGAGAATTGGCCGTCTGCAAGGACGTTGCCCAGGAGACACCCGGATGATTTGATGTTTTATCATTCTTGTGGGAGGCTTCTCTCATGTCCCCGCATGAGGAGCTGGAGTTGATAGAGGGAGCTCACCCACCTCTCCTTGGATTTGAACCTGCAACCTGTTGGTCTTCAGTCCGGCCGGCACAGGGGTTTGACCCACTGCACCACTAGGGGCTTTTTTTATGACAACCAATTAGGAACTGCCATTTATAACTACGTTTTGAAAATTTTGTTAGAGTTCTGAAATTTTCACCACCCGAACTTTAGCAACACTGTAGAAGCAAAGCACCCGGTGCCCCCTAGTTTTCACCACCGGAACTTTAGTTTTGTAAGAACTTTAGAACCATGGATTGCCCATGCCTAGTGCCTATCTATGGGATACATCAGGGCCATCACCATAATTTTTACATTTTATTTATTTATTTATTTATTTACAACATTTGTATGCCTCCCTTCTCACCCTGAAGGGGACTCAGAGCGGCTTACAAGATATATATATCTCTATCTATTTATCTATCTATCTATCTATCTATCTATCTATATACGTATCTTCTCCTCTGTGGCCCCCCGACTCTGGAACTCATTACTCGGAGAGATTAGGAAAGCCCCTACCTTAGAAACCTTTAAAAAGGACCTTAAAACCTGGCTCTTCTGCTGCGCCTTTGGTGAGTAGGTACACAACCTTACACTACTGCTCCCCTCAACGTTTTTGTCACTGAAGTACATGTCCCGTCCCCCCTCGTGGGAAAGTTTGGTTCTACAACCCTGTTTTTATGAGCTCTCCTTTGCAAATAATCTGCTCCTCTTTTTATCTCACCCTGAGTTTTTAACATTTTATCTTGCGCGTGTGGCCCGCCCACTGTCACTGTGATTGTATTGTAATTTTATATTGCTAATGCATTCGTATGTTTTTATGTAATTACTAGCTGTCCCCTGCCACACGTTGCTGTGGCCCAGTCTGTGTATCTATGTGTATGTGTGTATATATTTGTGTATATATGTGTTTGTGTATATATATGTGGTTTTGTGCCTGTGTTGTAATGTAATTTTTATTTTATTTTTTGACCTTTTTAAGTCTCTTCCGCTGTATTTTCAGTGTTTTTATGAGTGATGGTCACTTGTTGGCCTGATAGGTGTCTTGTGTTTAAATTTGGTGTCAATTCGTCCAGTGGTTTTAGAGTTATGTTAATCCCACAAATGAACATTACATTTTAATTTATATAGATGTTGTTGCTTGTTGCTTGTGATTTTGGTTTTATTTTGCTGTGATCTGCTGTTCAGGCTTGGCCTCATGTAAGCCGCCCTGCGTCCTCGTTGGGGGAGATGGTGGCGGGGTATAAATAAAGTTGTTTATTATTATTATTATTATTATTATTATTATTATTATTATTATTATTATGGATGTCCCCTGACATTAAGTCCCGTCGTGTCCAACTCTAGGGTGTGGTGCTCATCTCAATTTCTAAGCCGAAGAGCCAGCGTTGTCTGTAGACACCTCCAAGGTCATGTGGCTACTGGCATGACTGCATGGAGCACCATTACTTTCCTGCCGGAGTGGTCCCTATTGATCTACTCACACTTTGTATGTTTTCAAACTACTAGGTTATCAGAAGCTGAGGCTGACAGAGGAAGTTCACGCCGCTCCCTGGATTCGAACCTGCGACTTTTCGGTCAACAAGTTTAGCAGCTCAGCAGTTTAACCCACTGTGCCACTGGGCTCCCAATATACAATATATGATATTATTAGCAGAGTATAATATCAGTATTATATATTACTATATGGTACTATACCATTATATTGTACTATTATTAGTAATATTACATGTAATTTAAAATACTGAATTATATCATATTATTATAAGTAGTAGTAGCAGTATTAGTATTATATTGTATTATAATATAATATTATAATATCATTCTTCCTAATTGCTTTATTTTACTAATTAGTAAAGGTAAAATTATTATTATTATTAGTCTTATATTGTATTACAATATAATATAATATAATATAATATAATATAATATAATATAATATAATATAATATAATATAATATAATATAATATAATATAATATAATATAATATAATATAATATAATAATATCATTCTTCCTAATTGCTTTATTTAACTGATTAGTAAAGGTAAAAATTTCCCCTAACATTAAGTCTAGTCGTGTCCAACTCTGGTGCTCATCTCCATTTCTAAGGCAAAGAGCCGGCGTTGTCTGTAGACACCTCCAAGGTCATGTGGTCAGCATGGAGCGCCGTGACCTTCCCACAAAAGCGGTACTAATTGATCTACTCACATTTGCATGTTTTCAAACTGCTAGTTTGACAGATGCTGAGCCTAATAGCGGGAGCTCACCCCAATCCCTGGATTCGAACCACCGACCGAAGGGGACTCAGAGCGGTTTACAAGGTATACATACATACAATATATTATATTGTTAGCATAGTACAATATAAGTATTATATATTACTATATTGTACTATACCATTATATTGTAATATTATTAGTAATATTACATGTAATATAAATATATAATTATATAATTATAATATCATGTTATTATTAGTATTATATTGCATTACATTATAATATTATAAATATTATAAATAATATATACATTATTATTTTCTAACTGCTAGTTTGGCAGAAGCTGGGGCTAACAGCAGGACCCCCCCCCCCCCCCCCCCCCCGGATTTGAACAGCCAGTCTTTCGGTCAGCAATTTCAGCAGCTCAGCAGTTTAACCCACTGCGCCACTGGGGGCTCCCAATATACAATATATGATATTATAAGCATAGTACAATATCAGTATTATATATGACTATATTGTACTATACCATTATATTGTAATATTATTAGTAACATTACATGTAATATAAAATATATAATTATACTATCATATTATTATATTATTAGTAATATTATATTATATTGTATTACGTTATAATTAATATAATATAATATAATAATATTATTATTCTTAATTGCTAGTTTGGCAGAAGCTGAGCCTAACAGCAGAAGCTCACCCCCCCCCCCCCGGATTTGAACAGGCAGTTTTTCGGTCAGCAATTTCAGCAGCTCTGCGGTTTAACCCACTGCACCACCAGTGGGTTATTTATATAGATGGTGGTACCCTGTAAAGACTACTGCCAGAAGATAGAGCACGGGGCTAGTAAATGGCAAACCTTTACTTCTTCTTGGACTAGAGCACCTACAATACTTTGGAAGACAAACTAGGCATCCAAATTGAATCTGGCCTGTGAAGCGCAACCCCGTAACTTTATCCTACTCTGGTCCCAGCCCTCCCAAAACATCAGCCACATTTAAAGTTTCCCTTTCCTTTCTGCTCCTCTGCCCGCAACGGCCAACCACCATCCCCACTACGCGTAGGGAAAAGGCAAGCCAGCACCCTGGACAAATATAAACGAAAATGAAAAGCTTTCACCATATTTTAGCCTCACATAGGTATGTACCAGACAAGCTAAATCCGGACTGGTGCAGGTTCCTAACAGGCGGGGCCTGCTGTTTCGCCGGGGAAGTCTTGGCCGAGGAGGCTGGCGTGACCGTTTTTGGCGTCACCGAAACTTCGCAGACGGGGCCGTCATACAGGCCGCGGGGAACACCTCTCAGCTCAGCCAACTAAAAGGAAGAAGAGGGGGGAAACGTTAATAAGAGCACCGCAATGCATTATGTGTCACTCAACAGTCTTATCTCAATAAACTCCATTTGTCTGTAGGGTGTATTATGATGATAAATACGATTTATAATTATATAAATATATATTTATACTAGCTTTACCCGCCACACGTTGCTGTGGCCAACCTTATCTCCCTCTTTCTCTCCTACTTTCACTCCTTCCTTCATTTTCTTTTCTTCTTTCCTTTCTTCCTTCTCTACCTGTTTACGTCCTTCCTTAGCTTTTTGCTCCCATCCTTCCTTCTCTTTATTTCTTTCCTTCCCTCCCTCTTTCTCTCCTTCTTGCGACGGAGGATGGGGGCGTGGCTTGCGCAGAGGGTGCGTTGGCCGGCCATGTGCGCGCGCCGGGGGACTTTGGGGAAGAGCCTTTACGCATGCTCAGTTGCTTTTTGTAATTGTGAGTGTATTGAAATGTTGTTTGGAATTTTGATTCGCGTTGTGCATACCTTGTGGGTTGAGGTACGTGCACGGTAAATTTGGTGTGTTTTCGTCAGGGGTTTTTCGTGTTTTGCTGTCCCGTTGAATGCCCTTTCCATTTTTATATATATAGATAATTTATATAAATTTATATAATTTATATAAATATATATAATTTATATAAATATACATATATATATCTACATATGCTGGGGAAAGTGGAAGGTAAAAGGAAGAGTGCCCGACCAAGGGCAAGATGGATGGATGGCATCCTTGAAGTGACTGGACTGACCTTGAAGGAGCTGGGGGTGGTGACGGCCGACAGGGAGCTCTGGCGTGGGATGGTCCATGAGGTCACAAAGAGTCAGAGACGACTCAACAAATGAACAACAACAACATATACATATACTAGCTGTCCCTTGCCACACGTTGCTGTGGCCCAGTCTGTGCACATGTGTTTTGTGTGTGTATATGTGTGTGTATATATTTGTGTATGTGTATATATGTGGTTTTGCACATGAATTACATTGTTGTTGTTTTTTGTCTTTTGTCTTTTTAAGTCTATTCTGCTGTGTTTTTATGAGTGATGGTCACTTGTTGGCCTGATACGTGTATGGTTCCAAATTTGGTGTCAATTTGTCCAGTGGATTTTGAGTTATATTAATCGCACAAACTAACATTACACTTTTCTTTATATAGATACTAGCCATCCCCTGCCATGCATTGCTGTTGTCTAGTCTGTGTATGTGTTTTGTGTATGTATATGTGTGTGCATATATTTGTGTATGTGTATATATGTGGTTTTGCGCATGCATTATAATGGTTTTTTTTTTGTTTTTGGCTTTTTAAGTCTCTTATGCTGTGTTTGTAGTGCTTTTATGAGTGATGGTCACTCGTTGGCTTGACAAGTATATTGTGTCCAAATTTGGTGTCAATTTGTCCAGTGATTTTTGAGTTACGTTAATCCCACAAACGAACATTACACTTTTATTTATATACTAGCCACCCCCTGCCACACATTGCTGTGTATGTGTTTTATGTGTGTTTTGTGTGTGTATATATGTATATATGTGAGTGTTTATGTTTGTGTATATGTGTATATATGTGTGTTTGCGTATATATGTGGTTTTGCACATGCACTGTAATACATGTTATTATTCACTTTTTAAGTCTCTTCCTCTGTGTTTTTCAGTGTTAGCCTGATAGGTGTATTGGGTTCAAATTTGGTGTCAATTCGTTCAGTGTTTTTTGAGTTATGTTAATCCCATAAACGAACATTACATTTTTATTTATATAGATACTAGCCGTCCCCTGCCATGCGTTGCTGTGGCCCATATATATACATATATGCTGGCCCATATATATACATATATATATGCTGTATATGTGTTTTGTGTGTGTATTTATTTATTTATTTACAGTATTTGTATACCACTTTTCTCACCCCGAGGGGGACTCAAAGTGGTTTATATGCATATATGTGTGTGTATATATTTGTGTATATGTGTATATATGTGGTTCTAATGTTTGGAGGGTTTTTTTTTTTTGGCTTTTTACGTCTTTTCCACTGTGTTTTTCTGTATTTTTATGAGTGATGGTCATTTGTTGGCCTGATAGGTGTATTGTGTCCAAATTTGGTGTCAATTCACCCAGTGGTTTTTGAGTTATGTTAATCCTACAATCGAAGATTACATTTGTATTTATATAGATATATATGTATATATAATTTATTATAAATATAATAATAATAATAAATATAATAATAAATATAATAATAAATATAATAATAAATATAATAATAAATAAATAATAAACTTTATTTATATCCCACCACCATCTCCTAAAAGGGACTCGGGGCAGCTTGCAAGGCACTACAAGTGTAGTATATAATATAAACAGGATAAAAATGGAGCCAGGTATACGCTGTCTTTTGCTGCTTGGAGCACAGGTGGGTCACAAAATGTAGCAAACAAAATCAGATCCAGAGTGGAATATATTTGGAATAGAGATCTTTTTTTTCTGTTCTGTTATAGCAGTGTTTCTCAACCTTCCTAATGGTGACCCACAACCATAAAATTGTTTGTGATTGCTACTTCATAAGTGTAATTTTGCTCCTGTTATGAATCGTAATGTCAATATCTGATATGCAGAATGTATTTTCATTCACTGAGCCAAATTTGGTAGAAATACCCGATTCGCCCAAATTTGATTATTATTATTATTATTATTATTATTATTATTATTATTATTATTAATTATTTATTTATTTGACTTGTATACCGCTACTCCCAATTTGGCTCGGAGCAGTTTACAGCAGTAAATTAAAACAATACAATTAACTTTAAAATACAGTAAAAACAAGAACAGACATAGTCCCGAGTTATTTACCCATCCAAAGCTTGTCGGAAGAGAAAGGTTTTACAGGCTCTCCGAAAAGCAAGTAGCTCTCGGATGGTTCGGGTTTCAACTGGCAAGGCATTCCATAAATAAGGGGCCACGATCGAGAAGGCTCTCTGCCTAGTAGAGGTCAGATGATAAGTCCGGATGTTGGGGACTTCAAGCAAATTTTGGTCTTCGGACCGAAGTAATCTCTGGGGTTGATAGGGGGATAAGCGGGCCCTCAGTTACACCGGCCCCCAACCATATAAGGCCTTAAAGGTTAGTACCAACACCTTGAAAGTGATCTGGTACTCAATCGGTAGCCAGTGCAGCTGTGGTAGAATTGGGGTGATACAACACCTCGCCGGCACTCCGGCGAGAAGACGAGCCGCCACATTTTGCACCAGCTTCAGTTTCCGGATCACTGACAAAGGAAGGCCAATGTAGAGGTCGTTACAGTAGTCAAGCCTTGAGATGACCGTCGCTTGGATCACCGTAGCCAGGTCGTTCCTAGATAGGAAGGGAGCCTGTCGCCTAGCCTGACGCAGATGGAAAAACGCAGATCTGCTCACAGCAGAGACCTGGGCCTCCATTGTGAGCAGAGGGTCCAATAAGACACCAAGACTCTTTACAGAAGGTGACGGACGTAGTGTCTCGCCATCCAGGGTACGCAGCTGGATCTCCCTCCCTCCCATCCGTCTTCGCTGGATTCACCCTCAACCTGCTGGGGTGGGGGGGACGGGACACTGATTTTGTCATTTGGCCAGTTGCGTACTTACCCTGCTCCTTGCTTTGATGCGCTTGTAAACAAAGTCAGGGAAGGGTTTCCTGGCAATATATCGCCCAGAGCCCTCAGTTGCGTGAAGATTGCCATCCTCCAGGACGATCTTCCCCTGGCTGATCACCACCAACGGTGACCCACGGCACTCCATCCCCTCAAAGATATTGTATTCCACAGACTATAAGGGAAAGCAAGGGTTAGACCCACAGAACAACAAGAAAAATCCTAAATCAGGAGGAGTGTTTACTATAAAACGATTCTGCTACTCTATTCTCAGATAGATCTACTGGCCAGAAATCCTTTCGGAAGGGGTTCTTCAGATGTGCCAATATTCATTTCTATGATTCTGTTCTGGGTCCAATTTTTCTCATTGTATATCCTTCCGAATTGGATGAAACATTTCCAGACATCTAATTAATTCTAAATGAAGTGGAATGATTACTTCTCATGATTGTAAATTTCAATTCTATGCAAGCAGAATTTTTGCCATTATCGCTTTTAGAATCATAGAATCATAGAGTTGGAAGAGACCTCATGGGCCATCCAGTCCAACCCCATTCTGCCAAGAAGCAGGAATATTGCATTCAAATCACCCCCGACAGATGGCCATCCAACCTCTGTTTAAAAGCTTCCAAAGAAGGAGCCTCCACCACACTCTGGGGCAGAGAGTTCCACTGCTGAACAGCTCTCACAGTCAGGAAGTTCTTCTTCATGTTCAGATGGAAAGGGGTTTTGTGTAGTATTTTATTGACTCCAGCCCAATTTTCTTTTATGTTGAGATCTGTTGTCGAAAGCTTTCATGTCCAGAATCACTGGGTTGCTGTGAGTTTTCTGGGGTATGTGGCCATGTTACATTGGTCATGAACCCGTACAGAATCATATACATTGGTTATGAATCTGTACAGAATCATTAGCAAGAAATGTAAGGGCATGTTCCATCCTGCATTTTACTCTGAACTTACAAAAATGCTGAATTCTATCTGTCAAAGGAATTCAGCACCTTGGAGAGCTCTTACACCTGAAAGCTCATACTTTTGTAAATTCCATTGGTGGAAATGCTGTGAGTTTTCAGAGCTGTGTGGCCATGTTCGAGAAGCATTCTCTCCTGACGTTTCACCCACATCTATGGCAGACACCCTCAGAGGTTGTGAGGTCTGTTGGAAACCAAGTGAGGTTTATATATCTGTGGAATGACGTCCAGGATGGGAGAAAGAACTCTCATTTTTTTGAGGCAAGTGTGAATGTTGCAATTGGTCACCTTGATTAGCAATGAATGGCCTTGCAGCTTCAAAGCCTGGCTGATTTCAATACTAATCAAGCTGGCCAATTGCAACATTCACACTTGCCTCAAATAGTTTTTCTCCCATCCTGGACATTCCACAGACAGACAAACCCCACTTGCCTAGTTTCCAACAGACCTCACAACCTCTGAGGATGCCTGTCATAGATCTGGGCAAAACGTCAGGAGAGAATGCTTCTGGAACATGGCCAGACAGCCTATGTTCTTTATTCTACTCTCATTTTGTATAATCCACAAATCAGACTCAATCAAGCTGGCACCATGGCCAGGCTTCTTTTTTTTTTTGGGGGGGGGGGGGTCGTGTCAGAAACTGCAAGTTGCTTCTGATGTGAGAGAATTGGCAGTCTGCAAGGATGTTGCCCAAGGGATGCCCGGATGTTTTGATGTTTTACCATCCTTGTGGGAGGCTTCTCTCATGTCTCAGCATGAGGAGCTGGAGCTGACAGAGGGAGCTCATCCGCGCTCTCCCCTGATTCAAACCTGCGACCTGTCGGTCTTCAGTCCTGCCAGCTCCATGGCCAGGCTGTAAATATTGGAATAAAATAAGTGCCGTAATAAAAGATATATGGGGCGTATTTGCCTTGAGAGCAGAATTATGTTTAAGTATTAATCCTAAAGTAGAAATTCTCTCATAACTTTTGGCATTTCTCCTTAACTTACGAAAACAACAATCAAGAGATCCTAAAACTACAGACCACCTGAAAATACTACCTACTACAAATGCAGAAAGTCCATTGTTTGATGGATTTGAGCCTGGGTTTCAGGAGAAAAAGACTTTCAATCAAGTTGCTTACTATGTTGTGAGTCTTCGCCGAGATTGTCTTTACACTGTCCGGGTCCCAGATGACCAGGTCCGCATCGGAGCCCACGGCAATGCGTCCCTTTCGGGGATACAAGTTGAAGATCTTGGCAGCAGTGGTGCTGGTGACAGCCACAAACTGGTTTTCATCCATCTTCCCAGTAACCTAGGAACAACAAAAGGCAGCAGTCTTACCAATTGAGGAACCTCAACAGAAAACAAATCCTCAAAGTTGTACCATCTCACCCGCCTCATAGGAAACCTGCTACAAAACAGGAGCTTTTTTGTTGAGTTCCAGGGCCAGAGAAGCAGATGGCGGAAACAGAAGAACGGCCTGCCTCAGGGGAGCGTGCTCGCTCCATCCATGTTCAACATTTACACAAATGACTGCCAGAAGGGACAGAGGGTTTCATCTATGCAGATGATCGTGCCATCACCGCTCAAGCAGGGAGCTTTGAGATGGTTGAACAGAAGCTCTCCGAAGCTCTAGGTGCTCTAACTGCCTATTACAGGGAAAACCAACTGATCCCCAACCCATCCAAAACACAGACATGTGCCTTTCATCTCAAGAACAGAGAAGCACCCCGAGCTCCCAGATCACCTGGGAAGGAAGGAATCCCACGGGAGTATTGCAGCGCACCCAAATACCTGGGAGTCACCCTGGACCGTGCTCTGACCTACAAGAAGCACTGTCTGAATATCAAGCAAAAAGTGGGCGCTAGAATCAATATCATACGATAGCTGACTGGCACAACCTGGGGATCACAACCAGATACAGTGAAGACATCTGCCCTTGCGCTATGCTACTCTGCTACTGAGTATGCATGCCTGCTGTGGAACACATCTCACCACGCTAAAACAGTGGATGTGGCTCTTAATGAGACATGCCGCATTATTACAGGGTGTCTGCGCCCTACACCACTGGAGAAATTACACTGCTTAGCCAGTATTGCACCACCTGACATCCGCTGGGAAGTAGCAGTCAATAGTGAAAGGACCAAGGCAGAGACATCTCCAGCTCATCCCTTGTTTGGGTATCAGCCAGCACGTCAATGACTTAAATCAAGAAATAGTTTTCTTAGATCTACAGAGACACTCGCTGGAACACCTCAGCAAGCGAGAGTCCAAAAGTGGCAGGCTCAAACCCAGCACCTCAATCCGTGGGTGATACCAAATGAAGACTCCCCCCTGGGCACACAGAAGACTGGGCGACTTGGAAGGCGCTGAACAGACTGCGCTCTGGCACCACGAGATGCAGAGCCAACCTCAAGAAATGGGGCCACAAAGTGGAATCCACGACATGCGAGTGTGGAGAAGAGCCAACCACTGACCACCTGCTGCAATGCAACCTGAGCCCTGCCACATGCACAATGGAGGACCTTCTTGCAGCAACACCAGAGGCACTCCAAGTGGCCAGATACTGGTCAAAGGACATTTAATCCACTACCAAACTCACACATTTTGTATTTTCTTTTTTTGTTTGCTTTGTTCTGTTAGAAATGTAATATAATTGACTGGCTGCCCTGACACGAGAAATAAAAATAAATAAATTGAATGTTTACCAAAAGTCGTGTGAATATGTTAGAGATTGTCCACACGACTTTTGGAAGATCCGACTAATTATTCGGAAAACATGAATATTATGTTTGTTACATCATTGTAAATAGTCCCATTGTATTTGTTTCCTATGCTTGTGTACCATACGAATTAATTGAGTATTCTCATGATGATTTGAATTGATACTTTTGCTGAAGTTTACAACAACAGGACATTTCTGGATTGAACTCACATGGAGGATTATCCTAATCGGATAACGAGGGATCGCCTAAGTAAGTAAGGCATAGGACAGTGTTTCTCAACCTGGGGGTCGGGACCCCTGAGGGGGTTGCGAAGGGGTGTCAGAGGGGTCGCCAAAGACCATCAGAAAACACAGCATTTTCTGATGGTCATGGGGATTCCATATGGGAAGTTTAAGCCAATTCTATCATTGGTGGAGTTCAGTATGTTCTTTGATTATAATGAACTATAAATCCCAGAAACTACAACTCCCAAAAGTCAAGGTCTATTTTCCCCAAGCTCCACCAGTGTTCACATTTGTTCACATATGGGAAGTTTGAGCCAATTCTATCGTTGGTGGAGTTCAGAATGTTCTTTGATTGTAATGAACTATAAATCCCAGCAACTACAACTCCCAAAAGTCAAGGTCTATTTTCCCCAAGCTCCACCAGTGTTCACATTTGTTCACGTATGGGAAGTTTGAGCCAATTCTATCGTTGGTGGAGTTCAGAATGTTCTTTGATTGTAATGAACTATAAATCCCAGCAACTACAACTCCCATAAGCCAAGGTCTATTTTCCCCAAGCTCCACCAGTGGTCACATTTGCACATATTGAGTATTTGTGCCAAGTTTGGTCCAGATCCACCATTGTGTGAGTCCACAGTGCTCTCTGGATCTAGGTGACCTACAACTCCCAAACTCAAGGTCAATACCCACCAAACCCTTCCAGTGTTTTCCGTTGGTCATGGGAGTTCTGTGTGACAAATTAGGTTCAAATCCATCGCAGGTGGAGTTCAGAATGTTCTTTGATTATAGGTGAACTATAAATCCCAGCAACTACAACTCCCAAATTACAAATCAATCCTCCCCTAACCCCACTAGCATTTACATGTGGTTGCATTGGGTATTTGTGCCCAGTTTGGTCCAGTGAATGAAAATACATCTTGCATATCTGATATTTACATTATGATTTACAACAGTAGTAAAATGACTGTTATGAAGTAGCAACGAAAACAATATTATGGTTGGGGGTCACCACAACATGAGGGACTGGATTAAGGGGTCACGGCATTAGGAAGGTTGAGAACCACTGGCATAGAATATCTAGTAATATCAGTAAAGGGCTTGTCTGGGAGAACTGTGCCCTGCCAACCCGGAAAGCAACTCACCACAGCTTTATCCCAGATGATGGACATCCTTTCCTCGGTTCCATTGGTTCCTTCAGGGATCATAGTAAAGTTGTCTTTCCCAACAGCTTTCTGGGCAGTGTTGAAGGTGCAATGGCCACTGCCAGTAACCTGGAGATCTCCACTTAAAGCAGAAAACAAAAGGTGTGCAATTTATTTATTTCGTATCAAAGGCATTGCATTAATTAGTATAAAACTGATAAAAATAGAAGGAGCGCGGGCGGCTAAATATCCTTTGACCAAAAACGGGCAACAGCAATGGCATTGTCTGTAGCCTCCAACAACTCTTCCTCTGTACATGAGGCAGGGCATAGTGGACAAGCATACAGATGCAGAGTTGTCTGTTCTGCTCCACAGTCACACAAGTTGTGGGATTCTTTTAGGTAGTGCCGTTTTGCCAGGTTGTCTTTTGATCTGCCCCACTCCACTTCTGAGTTTGTTCAGGGACTTCCAAGTTGCCCAAAGGTGTGCAATGAATACAAGCAAATGACAAATTAGGTTCTTGTGGGTTTTTTCGGGCTATAGGGCCATGTTCTAGAGGCATTTCTCCTGATGTTTCGCCTGCATCTATGGCAAGCATCCTCAGAGGTAGTGAGGTCTGTTGCAAATAGGACAATGGGTTTATATATCTGTGGAATGGATGGGGTGGGGCAAAGAGCTCTTCTCTGCTGGAGCTAGGTGTGAATGTTTCAACTGACCACCTACAATAGCATTTGAAGGCCTGCCTGAGCCTGGGAAAACCTTTTGTTGAGAGGTGTTAAGATGTGCCTGGTTGTTTCCTCTCTGCTGTTTTGCTGTTGTAATTTTAGAGTTTTTTAATACTGGTAGCCAGATTTTGTTCATTTTCATGGTCTCTTCCTTTCTGTTGAAATTGTCCACATGCTTGTGGATTTCCATGGCTTCTCTGTGTAGTCTGACATGGTGGTTGTTGGTGTGGTCCAGCATTGTCCTCACAGGACTCCCATTGATAAGATTCTCCATCTACTCTGAAAACAGAACTAGTAGCTTTCTATAGGGGGTGATTTCACTTAAGTATTTATTTCAGCTCATTCAAACTTTGCTCTAGCTCAGTGTTTTTCAACCTGGGGGTCAGGACCCCAGGGAGGGGGTCACGAGGGGGGTGTCAGAGGGGTTGCCAAAGACCATCAGAAAACACATATTTTTGATGTGTCTTAGGAACCCCTTTGGCAGAGAAGGCTGAAGATCTCTCCACTTGACCTTTTCTTCTTTTGGAAACAGATGGCAAATCATCCTACAAAAAGTTCTCCTCCCTGCTGTGATTGGCTGGCCTCTCAGCTAGCCTCTCAACCAAGAGAAGGGCTGTTTCTGAGACTCTAAGCAGGAAGGCGAGAGGAGGCATGTTCTCCCCTAAATCACTGTCAATTCCTCCCAAATCCCTCCAGTGTTTTCTGTTAGTCATGCAAGTTCTGTGTGGGAAATTTGGCCCAATTCTATCACTGGTGGGGTTCAGAATGCTCTTTGACTCTAGGTGGACTATAAATCCCAGCAACAACAACTTCCAAATACCAAGATCTATTTTCCTCAAACTCCACCAGTGTTCACATTCGGGCATGTTGAGTATTTATGCCAAGTTTGGTCCAGATCCATCATGTTTGAATCCACAGTGCTCTCTGGATGGAGGTGAACTACAACTCCAGAACTCAAGGTCAATGCCCACCAAACCCTTCCAGTATTTTCTGCTGGTCGTGGCAGTTCTGTGTGCAAAGTTTGGTTCAATTTGCATTGTTGATGGGGTTTAGAATGCTCTTTGATTGTAGGTGAACTATAAATCCCAGCAACAACAACTCCCAAATGCCAAGATCTATTTCCCCCAAACTCCACCAGTGTTCAAATTTGGGCATATTGAGTATTTATGCCAAGTTTGGTCCAGATCCATCAATGTTTGAATCCACAGTGCTCTCTGGATGGAGGTGAACTACAACTCCAAAACTCAAGGTCAATACCCACCAACCCTTCCAGTATTTTCTGTTGGTTGTGGGAGTTCTGTGTGACAAGTTTGGTATATTGAGAATTTGTGCCAAGTTTGGTCCAGATCCTTCATGTTTGAGTCCACAGTGCTCTCTGGATGGAGGTGAATGACAACTCCAAAACTCAAGGTCAACACTCACCAAATCCTTCCAGTATTTTCTGTTGGTCGTGGCAGTTCTGTGTGCCAAGTTTGGTTCAATTCCATTGTTGGAGAAGTTGAGAATGCTCTTTGACCTTAGGTGAACTATAAATCCCAGCAACTACAACTCCCAAATTGTCAAGGTCTATTTTCCCCAAAATCCACCAGTGTTCACATTTGGGCATATTGAGTATTCGTGCCAAGTTTGGTCCAGATCCATCATGTTTGAGTCCACAGTGCTCTCTGGATGGATGTGAACTACAACTCCCAAACTCAAGGCCAATGCCCACCAAACCCTTCCAGAATTTTCTGTTGGTCATGCAAGTTCTGTGTGCCAAGTTTGGTTCAATTCCATCATTGGTGGAGTTCAGAATGCTCTTTGATTGTAGATGAACTATAAATCCCAGCAATTACAAATCCCAAATGACAAAATTGATTCCCCGCCCCACTCCCCAAACTCTACCAGTATTCAAATTTGGGTGTATCGGGTATTTGTGTCTAATTTGGTCCAGCGAATGAAAATACATCCTGCATATCAAATATTTACATTATGATTCGTAACAGTAGCAAAATTACAATTATGAAGTGGGAACGAAAATAATGTTATGGTTGGGGGTCACCACAACATGAGGAACTGTATTAAGGGGACACAGCATTAGGAAGGTTGAGAACCACTGCTCTAGCTCAATAGTATGTTGTCTAAAGCGGAGGAAATAAAGTTTTCACAAGGCCCCCAATTTCAATTAAATGAGCAGTGTGGTCAGAACAGCTCCTACATGGCTTTATATTGAATTTTTAGAGAAATGCTGACACCTGCAAGTAGATTTTGTTTCATTTCATCCTCCCTATGGGATTGTAACCACACTCTCACAGGAATGGTTTAATAAGCTGAGATCTTTGCTAGAAAAAGGTCAGATACTTTGATTATTTATGTTCCTTCCAAGATTCCAGACTCCCAAGAATCTGGCTGAGGTGCTTATTCTGACTAATCGGCTGCACTCGTTCAAACACTTCCCAGGGACACACTTCCAACAAGGAATCCAGAGGAATTTGAGAGGAAAATACACTGAGATCCAAGCTAATGATCCTCCTACTTACCAAGAGAGAAGGGAGTTGAGGAAGTCCGGAGTGGTTGGGTCAGGGCTCAGTGGTGGAGAGGTGACGAAAGCAGCGGCTTTGGCCCAGTTTTTACTCCAGTAGTGAGATCCATCGGTTCCCAAGCTTGCCGTGATGGGCTCTCCATAAACCACAGTGCCTACAGATTGGAACAATGTGTGCATTTGATTTGCATAATACGGTAATCCTAGTGGCACCGGGATTGTGGCGCAGCGGGCTGAGTGTCAGCTGCATTAAGCTCACTCTGACCAAAAGGTCATGAGTTCGAAGCCAGCCCGGGTTGGAGTGGGTTTCCAACCAATTGTGTGTAGCCTATTACTACACAGCCAGGTTACTAACTGGTGTGACTTACAGGGAGTGGTCAACCCTCCTGTTTAAGGAGCTCCACTGGCTGCCGTTCACTTTCTGGTCCCAATTCAAGGTGCAGTTTCTTACCTACAAAGCCCTGAACGGTTTGGGACCCGCCTACTTGCGTGAGCGCATTTCTGTGTATGAACCCACACGATCTCTTCGATCATCTGGAGAGGCCCTGCTTGCACTCCCACCTCCATCGCAGGCACAATTGGGGGGGACGAGGGAGAGGGCCTTCTCGGTGGTGGCCCCCTGACTCTGGAACTCATTCCCCAAGGACATCAGACATGCCCCAACATTGGCAGTCTTTGGGAGGAGCCTGAAAATGTGGCTGTTCCAGTGTGCCTTCCCAGAATAAGGAAAATTCCCAGCAATATGTCCTCAGAATGCACTTTACTACTGCTTTAGGATTGACTGCGCTCCCTCATCTCTCTTTTAAAATCCTATACCAGATATATCCTACCTCGTTCATGCCCAGTGTTTGTTTTTTAAATATTTATACTATTACATTTGGCCCGGCCACAGGTTTTTTAAATCCTTGTGTGTTACTATTTATTGGTTATTGTTTATATGTGATTTATATTAATTGTATTGTATTTATTGTTTCTGTTTTTATTGATGTGTTGTTGGGCTCGGTCTCATGTAAGCCGCTCCGAGTCCCTTGGGGAGATGGTGGCGGGGTATAAATCTATATATATAAAAATGGAAAGGGTGTTCAACGGGACAGCAAAACGCGAAAACTCCCTGACGAAAACTCACCAAATTTGCCGTGCACATACCCCAACCCACAAGGTATGCACAACACTCATCAACATTCCAAACAACATTTCAACAAACTCACAATTACAAAAACCAACTGAGCGTGCACAGTGCCCAGGGGAGGAAGTACACACGCAATGCACTCTGGGAACTGTAGTTCTAGAACGCGGCATGCTCGCTGGGGGCCAGGATGCTGCGCGAACGGAGAAAGGAAGGAAGGAAAGGAAAGAAGGAAGGAAGGGAGGGAAATTGAGAAGGTATATAAAAGAAGAAAGGTAGGAAAGAAAGAATACAGAGAGAGAAGGAGGATGGGAAAGAAAGAAAGAAAAAAAGAAGAAAGGGAAGGGGAAGGGAAGGTGTCAAAAGGAAGGAAGGAAGGAAGGAAGGAAGAAAGGAAGGGGAATTTGGGAAGGAGAAGAGAGGAAAAAAGCGAAGGAAGAAGAGAAAGGGAGGGAAGAAAAGAAAGAAAGAAAAGGAAGTCTGGAAGTCAAGAGCGAAGGAAGGAAGGAAAGAGATAGAGAGGGAAGAAAGGAGAGAAAGAGGAAGGAAAATAAAAAGGGAGGAGGAAGGAAAGAGGAAGAGAAGGAAGGAGGAGAGAAGGGAAGAAAAAAGGGAAGGGAGGAAAGACGGAGCAAAGGAAGAAGAGAAAGAAGGAGAGAAAGAGGGAGGGAAGGAAAGAAATAAAGAGAAGGAAGGATGGGAGCAAAAAGCTAAGGAAGGAAGTAAACAGGTAGAGAAGGAAGAAAGGAAAGAAGAAAAGGAAATGAAGGAAGGAGTGAAAGAAGGAGAGAAAGAGGGAGAGAAGGTTGGCCACAGCAACGTGTGGCGGGTAAAGCTAGTAAATATTATTATTATTATTATTATTATTATTATTATTATTATTATTATTATTATTTAAAGTGGGACAACTTGTACAATTGGTATGTGACTAAATACTTTTCCCCCCACTGTATACCCCGATGGTCAGTGATCCTAACAGGTCATGATCCATTATCCCCAATAGCAATTTGGCATAGAAGGCCAAAGATCTTGCAAAACTACAATTCCCACAATCCCATAGCCTTTTAGAAAGTGTGTCTTGCCAAGATGGGAATGCTCAGCATTGCAAAGGGGATGATATTCCACTTGGAGACGGAAATGGGATCTCCTCAGTTTGGGCTTCTTTAGGCAACATCATGCCCAATCCAAATTCTTTATGCGGAGAGGAAGAAAAAGATCATCAGCTTAAAACGCCCACGCTCAAAAATACTTGAAATAGATTCAAATGAGGGTTTAGGCAATAAAAAGAAAGAGGAAATGAGAGATGTTGATGCCGTTTGCCCAGCAGTTCCCTAAAGGATAGAGTTTAGAGAAGGAAAAGAATGCTATTCCTTAAGTAGAAGATATCTGGTAGTAGTGTCTTAAGGCACTTATAACGTATCAGCAACATGTCTTTGGCACCCTAAAGTAAGAATTGGGTACCACTCTCAGTTCCCCAAAAGAAATGCCAGTTGTGTATACATATTGTATGCATACAGGGGCCGTGGTAGCCCAGCAGGTTAAACCTTGAGCTGCAGAAAATATTGCTGACTAGGTTAGCAGTTCGAAGCCACAGGTCAGAGTGAGCTCCCACTGTTAGCCCTAGCTCCTGCCAACCTAGCAGTTCAAAAAACATGTAATATGAGTGGATCAATAGGTACCGACTCGGCAGGAAGGGTTTTTGCGACTGCAAGTCGCTTCTGGTGTGAGAGAATTGGCCATCTGCAAGGACATTGCAAGGGGTGCCATGATGTTTTTAGTGTTTTGCCATCCTTGTGGGAGGCTTCTCTCATGTCCCTGCATAGGGAGCTGGAGCTGACAAAGGGAGCTCATCCGCACTCTTCCCGGATGCGAACCTCCGACCTGTCCGTCTTCAGTCCTTCCAGCACAAGGATTTAACCCGTTGCCTCACGGGGGCAGGAGGTTAAAAGGCGCCGGCAAAACTCGACCACGAGTGTCTACGGACAAAAGGTTCCTCAGCATTAAAAAATGGAACAAGGGCATTGCCTCTAGACACTGGATATGCAGGGTTTGGGATGCTCTCGAAGAAATCCAAGGAGAAGAAAATGTGCATCTTGGAAGCAGTGCATTTGGATCATCCTCCTCTCCTAAAGGGCCTGGTCTAGGGGTTGCTGGGAGATGTAGTTCGAAACGAAGTGTGGATATGCTATTGTGTGTTTTGCTTGACGGGAGTGTCGTTTTTGCACATGCGCTGTAGCATCTTTTAACCTTTTTAAGTCCTGTTGTGTTTTTCTGTGTTTTTATGAGTGATGATCACTCGGTGTGGTATGTGTCTTGTGTCCAAATTTGGTGTCAATTTATCCAGTAGTTTTTGAGTTATGTTAATCCCACAAACGAACATTACATTTTTATTTATATAGATAGACTACCACACATTGCTGTAGCCCAGTCTGTATATATGTGTTTTGTGTGTGTATATATGTGTATAGGTGTATATGTGTGTGTGTGTGTGTGTGTGTGTGTGTGTGTGTGTATATATATATATATATATATATATATATATGGGTGTATATATGTGCATTCATATGTGTATGTATGTAAGAGTATATATGTGTGTGTGTATATTGGTGCATCCATATGTGTATATGTGTATTGTATATATGTGTGTGCTTGTCTATATGCATATTTGCATGTACATATGTGTGTATGTGTATATGTATATTTGTGTACATGTGTATATGTATATATGTATATATGTGTGTATGTCTGTGTGCATGTGTATATTTGTGTGTGTTATGTGTATGTGTATATATGTTTGTAATTATATGTGTCTGTGTGCTTGTGTGCGTGTATATATATGTGTGTGTGTGTATGTATATATGGTGTATTTTTGAGGTTTTTAAGTCCGTTCTGCTGGTTTGTGTGTGTGTGTTTTAGGGGTGATGGGTTGTTAGGTGTATGCTGTCCAATTTGGTGTCAATACGTCCAGTGGCTTTTGAGTTATGTTAATTCCACAAACAAACATTACATTTATTTATTTATATATATAGATAGATAATTAGCCAACCCCTGCCACACACTGCTGTGGCCCAATCTGTGTATATGTGTTTTGTGTGTGTATATATTTGTGTATATGTGTATATATGTATGTTTGCGTGAGTGTGTATATATATGTGGTTTTGTGCATGCATTGTAATGTATTTTTTGCTTTTTAAATTCCTTCTGCAGTGTTTTTCAGTATTTTTATGAGTGATGGTCACTCGATGTATTGTATCCGAATTTGGTGTCAATCTGTCCAGTGGTTTTTGACTTCTGTTAATCCCACAAACGAACATTACATTTGAACGGATTAAAGGCTGGAGCAGCAAGCAGAACAGCGGAGGCTGATTCTGGTGGGAAAATAAGAGAGAGCTGAGAAAGAAAGGGAAGATGTGATGAATGCTTGGCTGCCCTTTATTATTGGCAAACAAGTGTTACCATGGCTACTGTGCCTTTGCAGGAGGACAAAACAAACCACAAAAAAGGAAGAGGAAACTCGTTTTTAGGAAGCCAAAGTTCCAAGGAGCGAGTCGGGGCTGTGGAATCAATCCCATGCAAACGATCCTCTGCTCCTAAAGTGAAAATCCAGACCTGATAGAGAATGCAAACATATCCAAGAGGCAGCTGTGCAACACTGGCAAGGAAACAAGAACAAAGATTTTTCCACCACCCAGATTCTATTCATAGGACTTACCCTTTTTCCTGGCCTGGGCAATCACTTCCGCTGCGCTTTTGCTCATCACCTTGGTAACATACAAGGGGCAATTGGTTTGGTTGGCAATGGTGATCGCTCGGTTCACAGCTTCAGCTTCAACCTAATGGGGATGGGACAGATCTGTATCAGTTACGGGAATATCACCTCCAAGATCCATTGCATTTCCCTTTTGGAAAACCAAGTTCTGGCTGAGATATAAAAACTGATGACAACTGAACTTCAAGCAAAAAGTGGGTGCTAGAAACAATATCATACGAAAGCTGACTGCCACAACCTGGGGATCACAACCAGACACAGTGAAGACATCTGCCCTTGCGCTTTGCTACTCTGCTGCTGAGTCTGCTGCTGATATATATTAACTTGTATTGCATTGTATTGTTTTATTTATTGCTTTCCTGTTTTGTTGTTGTGTTGTTGGGCTTGGCCTCATGTGAGCCGCTCCGAGTCCCTTGGGGAGATGGTGGCGGGGTATAAAGAAAGTATTATTATTATTATTATTATTATTACCGCTCAAGAAGGGAGCTTTGAGATGGTTGAACAGAAGCTCTCCGAAGCTCTACGTGCTCTTACTGCCTATTACAGGGGAAACCAACTGATCCCTAATCCCTCTAAAACACAGACATGTGCCTTTCACCTTAAGAACAGACAAGCTTCCCGAGCTCTGAGGATTATTACCTGGGAAGGAATCCCACTGGAGCATTGCAGAGCACCCAAATACCTGGGAGTCACTCTGGACCGTGCTCTGACCTACAAGAAGCACTGCCTGAACATCAAGCAAAAAGTGGGCTAGAAACAATATCATACGAAAGCTTACTGGCACAACCTGGGGATCACAACCAGACACAGTGAAGACATCTGCCCTTGCGCTATGCTACTCTGCTGCTGAGTATGCATGCCCAGTGTGGAACACATCTCACCACACTAAAACAGTGGATGTGGCTCTTAATGAGACATGCCGCATTATCATGGGGTGTCTGCGCCCTACACCACTGGAGAAATTACACTGCTTAGCCAGTCTTGCACCACCTGACATCTGCTGGGAAGTAGCAGCCAACAGTGAAAGGACCAAGGCAGAGACATCTCCAGCTCATCCCCTGTTTGGGTATCAGCCAGCACGTCAACGACTTAAATCTAGAAATAGTTTTCTAAGATCTACAGAGACACTCGCTGGAACACCCCAGCAAGCGAGAGTCCAAAAGTGGCAGGCTCAACCCAGAACCTCAACCAATGGCTGATACCAAATGAGAGACTCCCCCCTACTGGGTGATTTGGAAGGCGTTGAACAGACTGCGCTCTGGCACCACGAGATGCAGAGCCAACCTTAAGAAATGGGGCTACAAGTGGAATCCACGACATGTGAGTGTGGAGAAGAGCAAACCACTGACCACCTGCTGCAATGCACCCTGAGCCCTGCCACATGCACAATGGAGGACCTTCTTGCGGCAACACCAGAGGCACTCCAAGGGGCCAGATACTGGTCAAAGGACATTTAATCAACTACCAAGTTTGCAAAATTTGTGTTTTTTTATCTGACGTTTCGCCTGCATCTATGGCAAGCATCCTCACTACCTCTGAGGATGCTTGTCATAGATGCAGGCGAAACGTCAGGAGAGAATGCCTCTAGAACATGGCCATATAGCCCGAAAAAACCTACAACAACCCAGTGATTTGTTCCATAGAAGTCTTCGACAAAACATTTTTCTATCAGCACCAGAACTAATTCTATAACATTCCCCATCATTTTCTTCCCTGCAACTAGTAAAGCTGCTCAGACAACTGCAAACGCCTACTCATTCCCCAAAACAATTCCAAAAACCACATTCAATGTGGCTGCGGCCTTTTCCACGTGGGAAGGCAGGGAGGCCCGGCTATAAAATGCTGCCTTTGAAAGCTCCTGGCAACTCTGCACAGCTGGTTCGACTTAGTCACAGCTCCCGAGTTGGCAGAAGTATGTTAACCGATTTGGTACCAGGAATCCTACATCTCTTTATCTTACTACTTCTGCACATTTCCACATTCGTTTCCTAAAGGAAGCTATCAAACTAGGGCTGGAAATTATGAAGTTCTCCAGATGTTGCTGCTCTGCAACTGTCTGAATCCCACACTGTTGACAAGCCTTGGGATGCCGTAGGTTTTTCGGGCTGTATGTCCTAGAAGCATTCTCTCCTGATGTTTCGCCTGCATCTATGGCAGGCATCCTCAGAGGTTGTGAGGTCTGTTGGAAACTAGGAAAATTGGCTTTATATATCTGTGGAATAATGTCCAGGGTGGGAGAAAGAACTCTTGTCTTTAAGTGTGAATGTTGCAGTTGGCCACCTTGATTATTATTATTATTATTATTATTATTATTATTATTATTACTTATTTATCTATCTAACGTGTCATCAGCAACCAGACCATTGTGTTACATTTCTAACAGAACAAAACAAACAAACAGATAAAAAAAACCCACAAATTTTGCAAACTTGGTAGTTCATTAAATGTCCTTTGACCAGTATCTGGCCCCTTGGAGTGCCTCTGGTGTTGCCGCAAGAAGGTCCTCCATCGTGCATGCGGCAGGACTCGGGTTGTGTTGCAGCAGGTGGTCAGTGGTTTGCTCTTTTCTGTACTCGCATGTCGTGGATTCCACTTTGTAGCCCCATTTCTTGAGGTTGGCTCTGCATCTCGTGGTGCCAGAGCGCAGTCTGTTCAGCGCCTTCCAAGTCGCCCCGTCTTCTGTGTGCCCAGGGGGGAGTCTCTCATCTGGTGTCACCCACGGATTGATGTGCTGGGTTTGAGCCTGCCACTTTCGGACTCTCGCTTGCTGAGGTGTTCCAGCAAGTGTCTCTGTAGATCTTAGAAAACTATGTCTGGATTTAAGTCGTTGACGTGCTGGCTGATACCCAAACAAGGGATGAGCTGGAGATATCTCTGCCTTGGTCCTTTCACTATTGGCTGCTACTTCCACATGGATGTCAGGTGGTGCAATACTGGCTAAGCAGAGTAATTTCTCCAGTGGTGTAGGGCGCAGACACCCCGTCATAATGCGGCATGTCTCATTCAGAGCCACATCCACTGTTTTAGCGTGGTGAGATGTGTTCCATACTGGGCATGCATACTCAGCAGCAGAGTAGCATAGCGCAAGGGCAGATGTCTTCACTGTGTCTGGTTGTGATCCCCAGGTTGTGCCAGTCAGCTTTCGTATGATATTGTTTCTAGCACCCACTTTTTGCTTGATGTTCAGGCAGTGCTTCTTGTAGGTCAGAGCACGGTCCAGAGTGACTCCCAGGTATTTGGGTGCGCTGTAATGCTCCAGTGGGATTCCTTCCCAGGTGATCCTCAGAACTTGGGATGCTTGTCTGTTCTTAAGGTGAAAGGCACATGTCTGTGTTTTAGATGGATTAGGGATCAGCTGGTTTTCTCTGTAAGAGGCGGTAAGGGCACCTAGAGCTTCGGAGAGCTTCTGTTCAACCATCTCAAAGCTCCCTGCTTGAGCGGTAACAATAATAATACTTTATTTATACCCCGCCACCATCTCCCCAAGGGACTCGGAGCGGCTCACATGAGGCCAAGCCCAACAACACATCAATAAAACAGGAAAGCAATAAATAAAACAATACAATGCAATACAAATTAATATATATCACATATAAACAGTAACATACAAGGACTTAAAAACCTATGGCCAGGCCAAATGTAATAGTTCAAAAGTTAAAAATAAATGCTGGGCATGAACAAGGTAGGATATATCTGGTAGGAGGGTTTTAGAGAAGTGAGGGGAGCCCAGCCCAGCGTGTGATGGCCTGGCAGTTTCAAGGTCTAGCTTCTTACTGCCTGGGGGAATCCTTTGTTGAGAGGTGATCACTGATTAGCTGTCCCTGATGGTTAATTTTCTGGAATTCCCCTGTTTTTGAGTGTTGTTCTTTATTTACTTTCCTGATTTTAGAGTTCTTTTTTTTCCATAGAATCAAAGAGTTGGAGGAGACCTCCTGGGCCATCAGTCCAACCACATTCTGCCAAGAAGCAGGAATATTGCATTCAAATCACCCCTGACAGATGGCCATCCAGCCTCTGTTTAAAAGCTTCCAAAGAAGGAGCCTCCACCACACTCCGGGGCAGAGAGTTCCACTGCTGAACGGCTCTCACAGTCAGGAAGTTCTTCCTCATGTTCAGATGGAATCTCCTCTCTTGTAGTTTGAAGCCATTGTTCCATGTCCTAGTCTCCAAGGAAGCAGAAAACAAGCTTGCTCCCTCCTCCCTGTGGCTTCCTCTCACATATTTATCCATGGCTATCATATCTCCTCTCAGCCTTCTCTTCTTCAGGCTAAACATGCCCAGCTCCTTAAGCCACTCCTCATAGGGCTTGTTCTCCAGACCCTTGATCATTTTAGTCGCCCTCCTCTGGACACATTCCAGCTTGTCAATATCTCTCTTGAATTGTGGTGCCCAGAATTGGACACAATATTCCAGGTGTGGTCTAACCAAAGCGGAATAACTACTTCCCTAGATCTAGACACTATGCTCCTATTGATGCAGGCCAAAATCCCATTGGCTTTTTTTGCCGCCACATCACATTGTTGGCTCATGTTTAACTTGTTGTCCACGAGGACTCCAAGATCTTTTTCACACGTATTATTATTAAGCCAGGCACTGTCCCCCATTCTGTATCTTTGCATTTCGTTTTTCCTGCCAAAGTGGAGTATCTTGCATTTGTCACTGTTGAACTTCATTTTGTTAGTTTTGGCCCATCTCTCTAATCTGTCAAGATCGTTTTGAATCCTGCTCCTGTCCCCTGGAGTATTGGCTATCCCTCCCAATTTGGTGTCGTCTGCAACCTTGATGATCATGCCTTCTAGCCCTTTAATACTGGAAGCCAGATTTTGTTCATTGGCATGGTTTCTTCCTTTTGGCTGAAATTATCCACGTGTTTGTGGGTTTCAGTGGCTCCTCTGTGGAGTAGTCCAGCATTTCTGTGTTCTCAAATAATATGCTGCATCCAGATTGACCCATAGGTGCTCAGCTAACCTCCCACCCCCACCCCCACCAGTCTTCAAATTTGGGCATATCCAGTATTTGTGTCAAATTTGATCCAGTGAATGAAAATACATCTTGTATATCAGATATTTATGTTACGATTTATAACAGTAGCAAAATTACTGATATGAAGTAGCAACTAAAATCATTTTAATGGTTGGGGGGCACCACAACATGAGGAACTGCACTGAGGGGTCATGACGTTAGGAAGCTGTTAGAACCGTGAAATGCAACTCAAAAACTAAACAAAATTCCTGAAAATACTCACTTCTTCAGGCCGACTCAGAACATGTCCTTCGGGGCCAGTGATTCCCAATTCCAAGATCCTTTGCTGCTCCTAAAGAAGAGAGAAGGGACAGAACTGACGCTATCTTACTCTCAAATGTCAGATACTCATTCAAGACGTTCGTTGTCTATCTACCTAACCAATGTAATGGTCCTTTTCACCAAATGCCAAGGAACCGCTGGTGGTGCAATGGGTTAAACCCTTGTGCTGGCAGGACTGCTGATCGACAGGTCAGCAGTTCAAATCCGGGGAGAGATTTTTTTCCCATTTTGCAATCCAACTTATTTTCATTAGAGAAGATTTCCTTTGTTTCTCACCAGAACTAAGTGGATCAAAAGTGGAAGGGTCAATCAGAAATTAAGACACAACCCAGGAGTGGTATTGTGTACCAGGATTAGCAAAGACATCGTTTCATGTCAAAATCTACAAGGAAACTCGTACTTCTCTGGTTCAATATCCTCCAAATGTTGTGGCTCAATCTGAGCCTGAGCTTTCTGAGCCTGAGTTTCCTCAGGATGAGGAGGAGGATGGTTTACCGATTTCTGAACATGTCCCTGTTGTTGAGGCAAACAGTGTTGATACTGAAGGCGAGACGGCATTTCAGTTTCCCAGGGAAAGGAATGTTGTTTTAGAAGATGGTCATGATTTGTGTGAAACTTCACAGCTGCAAGTGGAGGAGTCAACCACTCCATCTATGACCTCTGTGCCTCTCGATTCCCAGGCTGGCCAGTCCCAGGATAATGAGTTATTCGGCCTTGAAGGTGATGGGGATTTGATTAGGGAGGACTGTTTGCAATTAAGGGTACGCCGAAGTGCTCAGCTTGCTAACAAATGGGAAGTTCGAGGTCAACGTAATGATTTCATGCTAAGAAAGCATATTTAACGATCTGATTGAAGTCAACCCTTTGTCAGTGCAACTTTGCTTACATCCTGTTAACTTCTCTGGAATTGCCTCGGCTTTTGGGGAAAGCTTTTGGCTCTTTGGGACTTTGGTTTTGATCTTGGTCTCTGGGGACTTTGTCATATGCTTGTGGATTATACTTCACGTTATTTGCCTTTGGACGTTGGAAACTCTGCCTTTGCATTTAAGACTCTGTTTTGGCTATTGAACCTTTGCGACCTTATTTCTATGTTTGTGATTTTGCTTTTTCTACAGCCTTGGTGGGTGGTGTTGTTCTGAGCAAGGTGAATCTATCCTGAGTTGCGACACCAAAGATAATAAATAATAATAAATATCCTGAGTTGCGACACCAAAGATGTGAGGCTACAACCTCACTAACTACTACAGGTGATAAGGATCGTAACCCAACTTGTCCAGAAGATCACAGGATGAAGAAAGGCCTTCTGCCTCATCTTCCTTCCCACTGTCAACACTTAGAACCAAAGTTCCTTGGGAAAAAACTTATCTGTCTCATGCAACTATTTGGACAAACTAGCATTAGCATTGTGAATACCTCAGCAATGATGTCACCATTCTCGGCATGGACTTGAGCAATGGCACCAATGTCACGGATCACGCTCAAGACCTCATAGATCTAAAGAGAAAAAGGCAAAAACGATGTCAATACTCCAGAACCACCCTTTCGGCTTGTTTACTCTCCCTTTAAAGAAATCGCCCTCCCATTAAAATCCAAATCTGTCATAGATTGAGACAATGTAGTTTTATTAGAACTCGATCTCAACTTCCTAATTTGTCTTTTTGTTTTTTTTTGTTTTGTTTTGTTGTTTTTTTCCTGGTGTCAGTTTTGTTTCCTTGTGTGCACCACAAATCAATAAAAAATTTAAAAATAAATAAAAAAGGAAGAACTTCCTAACTGCGAGAGCTGTTTAGCAGTGGAACTCTCTGCCCCAGAGTGTGGCAGAGGCTCTTTCTGTGGGAGCTTTTAAAAAGAGGCTGGATGGCCATCTGTCAGGGCTGATCTAAATGTGATTTTCCTACTTCTTGGCAGGAGGTTGGATGGCCCATGAGATCTCTTCCAACTCAATGATTCTGTAATCAAGGAAGGTCCACCAAAAAGATTGGCATGAAGCAAGAAATGTATGGCAGGCCTGCAGATTGTGTGCATATGGCTTGTTTTGTGTCCACCAAGGTGCTGAAGCAAAAACCTTCTCCAATTAACAAAAATAAAACCCTTTGCACAAAATGGCATTGCCAGGAGATTTCCTCATATTTCAGGACTTGTTGACATTGTCCACATCAAGTCATTTCCAACTTACGGCAACCCTAAGGTGGCTCTATCGTGGGGTTTGGGAGTTCATTCTAAGTTAATTTCAGTTCAATGCAAGGGGAAATTTCTTTTTGATCTGTACAGGTCTACGGAGAGGCTGCCAGTGTAGTGGAAATAATTTGGGAGGGTATTTTGAAGTAACGGGGAGTGGAATGAGGGTGGAGGCACCATTTCATTCTTGACAGCAAAATGAGTTCTGCCAGCTCTAAAACTTAACCAAAAGTAATTTGTACCTGGGAATCTGTTAGCTGAAAGCGATCCTTGAAGGCCATGTATACCAAGAAAGAATTCACACCTACCAGACAGAGATAAAGAGAGATTAGTTATATATCAGTAGCATCTCGGCACAGCAAGACAAGGAAACACATCGATCACAGTCTCCTTTAGGCTATAAACTAATTTATTGTACAACTATTTACATTAGAAGCTAAGCACATCGTAAAACTGCTTCCTCTCCATCGGGCAGCTGCTATCAGCATTAGTCCACACCTCCTGCATTCCAGAGTGACATATGACGTACGACGCTGCGTCTATTGCTCTCTGCACTAAGATTTATGAGCTCTCTAGGAATGCCGATTCCCTTCATGGTTCAGTTAACCCTTTCCACACAGGAATTACAATCGGCACATAGCATTGCATTTTAAACATACATTCACACTTTGAAATCTACATTATACATTTCAAAACACATCAACAGAACTGCCCATGTACTGAATTGCATCTAATCTCTCTATCACCTACCCTATCATACCTGCAACAAGTTCAGGATGCTACAGAAAGAAACAGGCCATCCAATGGCAGCATGGCCACACAATCCAACAATAACATCTCAGCTGCAAACACCATGTATATAGATGGATCTGATCTTCCAATTCATATACGGGTTGAATGAAAAGTAATGCCTCCACCTTCGTTACTTGGGTTTGGATGGGAATATTTTAATAACTCAAACGCAGAAATAATCCTTAGAATGTGCACTTTAACTACCACTATTCACTGTCCCACATAATCACCAGACAATTGGATATATTTGTGCCAACAATGAACAAGTTTTCTGAAGCCGTCACGGAAGAAGTCGATACTCTGTTTCCGCAACCAGCGTCTCACAGTTCTCTCAACGTCTTCATCAGAAGCATAATGATGTCCCCGCAGATCTTCTTTCATTATCGGGGACAGATGGAAGTCAGACAGTACGAAATCTGGACTATATGGAGGATGTTGTACGGTGGTGAGATCCAGTCTCTGAAGTTTCAAGTCTGTGCACTTTCATTTCAGGCGGCAGCATCCTGGGTACCCATCGTGCACAGATCTTCCGCTAGCCAAGCAAAACAATAATGTGACCCACACGTTCTTGTGAAATGCCGATTATACTTAAAATTTCTCTCTGAGTGATACGACAATCTTCCTGAATCAATCTGTCAACGTTTTGCTTGTGAAACTCGGTGGTTGCTGTCACAAGAGGTCCAATTCTTTGTTTGTCACGCAAGTCAGATGTTCCCACCTCAACATCTTTAAACTTACTTGCCCAATGACACACAGTATTCACATCAACACAATCACCATAAACAGCTTGCATTCTCTGATGAATCTCCTTTGGGGTGACACCTTCTGCTATCAAGAATTCAATGACTGCACGTTGCTTAAGTCGCATTCAGCGACAGTCTGCGCAGTGTTCCATACTTCACACTTTAACAACACAACCGTTCAATGCTAAATCGTCACACCAAAATGGAACTGTAGGGGAGAGGCTACTGAATAAGCCAGTACCTGCTGCATACCAGTACTATCATCTGTTGAGGAGGTGGAGGGATTACTTTCCATTCAACCCTCGTATTTTAAAGTTTTAAAGTTTTAACTCTCTCGACCCTTAGACCAGATGTGTTTGTGCGGGACTGTGTCCCTCTTCTCTTGAGCTGGCCCTTGACCATAGTAAGGTGAACTTGAACACTCCCGAGAGGCACCACCTGCTTCTCTGACCCTGGAATTCAACAAAAAAGCTCCTGTTTTGTACCAGATATCCTATGAAGCGGGTAAGGTGGTGATCCTTTGTGATATTATGAATTTGTCTCAGGAGGAGGCGGTGATTCACAGTCTCATAGGCTGCTGACAGGTCTATGAAAACGGCTCCTGTAATCAGTTGCCTTTCAAAACCATATTCTATGTGCTGAGTAAGGTTCAATACGTCTGATGTGCAGCTTTTCCCATTGTCAAACCGGGGTCACGAAGGTGGCCGTGGGGAGGCTATTGAAGGAGCAGTGACAAAGGTAGAGCCAGAAAGAATTGGAAGAAGAAGGAGGTAGAGCGGCCAGCCGCCATTACAACGCACGGGCTGAAGAACTCGCTCCCTCCTGTTCCTCACTTCCCCGTGCTGCAGCTTCGCCTCCTGCATACCTGGCTCAGCGTTGCGGACGAGCTTGTGGCCATTCGCGAGTGGAGAGATCGGGCTTCTCCTGCCGGCTGCTACCGACCCCGGGTTGGTTCCTCCTCCTTCGGGGGTTCCTTCGGGGACTCTTCGGCTGTGCTCCCTGCTGAGTCTGACCTCCGTGGGTGCTTGGCGTTTTGTTGCTGGGCTGCTTGGCGTCCCGTTGCTCGGCGTTTCTGCCCTTGCTTCTCCGGGGCTGTTCGGGGCTGCCTGCGCTGCTGCGCTGCTGCTGCGGTGCAGCTTGCGCGGCGCCGCCGATCTGTATCGGCTCGGGACCGCTCTGCCCTGGCGGTTGAACGGTGACTGCTTCGCTGGGTTGCGGGTCACCCAGGACTGCTCGGCTGCCGCGGCGCGGCTTTCTTTGGCGTTGCCGCTTGGCGGCCGCGGTGTTGTGGCTTCGGGAGGCCGACCTCTGGAGTGATAGGGCTCGTCGGATTGGCTGGCGGCCATTGCTACTTTAGCTGTCGCCGGAGCCGGCCGCTCCTTGGGCTCCACTTGGCTTGGTCGATTGGATGTCCGTGGGGCGACGCTGTGTAGCCATTTTGTGACCATCTTGCCGGGTTTAGCACGCCGCCGCCATCTTGAGGGCCAGTTGCACGCCGCCGCCATTTTGAGGGCCAGTTTGCCTCACTGAGGTCTTAACCAGCTTCTCCAACACCTAGGCCTCAGAGCACTCCCGAACCGGGACTAATCAACTGCCATCAACTGCCATCTCACGATACTCCATCATCGTATCGATAATTCCATCAACTTCCGGAAGATTGGGGCCAACCACCTCTCGTTGATTGGGCAGACCATCTTAGGACCATCTTGCGGCCCAATTACTATCATCTTGTGACATCTCGTTGTTCTAAGTTTTAGATATTGTGTTGAAGTTCTTATCTTTGTATTGACCTCCTGATCTTGTGGTCCATTTTGTACATTCCTTAATTATCCTAATCATCTTTGACTTGATTATTCTGATTGTATTGAGCACTGTCACAATTGGTTCGATTCTGTTACCTGTGCTGACTTTCTATGGTTATGTCCAACTGATTGTGTGACCACCTCTTCCAACTGTGCTACTAATCTCAGTGCGGTGAGGCGGGTTACCTCATCCTGTACGACCTAAGCACTTTAGTTTATTAGCACTTTAAAGTACTATCTTGTAGCACTTTATTACTATTTTGTGGCACTTTTAATGATCTCTAGCACTTAGTCGATTTAGTCTAAGTCCTCCATGACGCACTGCCGCTGATAGTATAGATCGATCTGATAAGCTGTTGCACTTTAATTGTTTAAGTGTTTATTTCATTGCGATTGCTGTGTACGTATATATCGTCATCATATCCATCTGCATTTTAAGAGCCTCAACGAACCCCTTGATTGTGTTACAGTTCATTCATGTCCTTCTCCATCTATTGGCAACTATTAATTGGGCTGCTAATTGGCTGTAGTGGAGTAATAGAACGGAACAGCCCAGAGGGACCCGATTATAACATTATAGGAAGGGGAAATAATTGGAAGGCGAAATCATGGCAAACTGAAATAGCAACTTATCAAGCTGTCAATAATGGATTATGGATTGCCATTATGGATGTTGAAGGCGTCATGGAGGAGGGAGAGGCGTCCGTTAACCGGGGAGCCCCCATAGAAGTCGTGGTGGGGAGGGGGAGATACGGGAAAGGGAGACCTTTAATTCGGCCTAGGGAACGTGGAACAACATTAGTAATCCCAAAGCGGTCTCCTGATACGGTAAGTCGGTGTAACCAGGATGGCGGTCCCCCCGGATTGAAAGTGGTGCTGTTGAACGCCAGATCTGTCAATGGTAAAACAACTTTCATCCAGGATTTGATCCTGGATGAACGGGCAGATCTGGCGTGCATCACAGAGACCTGGTTGGACGAAGCGGGAGGCGTAAATTTGACCCAGCTTTGTCCACCAGGGTTCTCTGTGCAGCACCAACCGAGATCCGGAGGGCGGGGAGGCGGAGTTGCAGTGGTCTATAGAGATTCCATTCCTCTGACCAGGGGCCCCATCCCGCAGTCAACAAATTTTGAATGCGTCCACCTGAGGGTGGGTGACCGGGACAGATTAGGGATTCTGTTAGTGTACCGTCCACCTCGCTGCACTACAGTCTCCCTGCCTGAGCTAGCTGGGGTGGTCTCGGACCTGGCATTGGAGTCCCAACGGCTGCTTGTGCTGGGGGACTTCAATGTCCACGCTGAGGCTACCCTGACAGGAGCGGCTCAGGACTTCATGTCTACCATGGCGACCCTGGGGCTGTCCCAACAAGTATCTGGCCCCACCCACAGTGCTGGACATACATTGGACTTGGTTTTCTGTCAGGGATGGGAGGAAGGTGGCGGTGTTGAGGAGTTATCCATCTCTCCGTTGCCATGGACCGACCACCACCTGGTCAGCTTTAGACTCACTGCACCCCCTAACCTCCGCAGAGGTGGAGGACCCATTAAGCTGGTCCGCCCCAGGAGGCTTATGGATCCGGATGGATTCCTGATGGCTCTTGGGGAATTTCCCGCCACCTCGGTTGGTGATCCTGTTGATGCCCTGGTCGCTCTCTGGAATGGGGAGATGACTAGGGCAATAGACACGATCGCTCCAGAACGTCCCCTCTCAAGTAGCCGAGCTAAACCAGCTCCTTGGTTCACCGAGGAGCTGGCAGCGTTGAAGCGAAAGAAGAGGGAACTAGAGAGCGTGTGGCGTTCGGATCCGAGCGAGCCAAATCGAACACGGTTTGTGTCCTTTTTAAGGGCATATGCCGCGGCAATAAAGGCCGCAAAGAAAACTTTCTTTGCGGCCACTATTGCGTCTGCGAAGAACCGTCCGGCTGAACTGTTCCGAGTTGTCAGAGGCCTATTAAAACCCACCACTCAGGATGGGTGCCCTGATGACTCGGCAGCTCGCTGCGAAGCTTTTGCTCGGTTCTTCGCAGACAAAGTCGCTTTGATCCGCTCTGGACTGGATACCATATTAACGGCAGTATCTGAGGATGTAACTCGAGCATCTGCTTGTCCGGTTTTGATGGATTCATTTCAATTGGTTCAATCCGAGGATGTGGACAAGGTGCTTGGAGGAATGAGAGCTACCACATGCATCCTAGACCCCTGCCCATCCTGGCTTCTAAAGGAGGCCAGAGGGGGTTTGGCCGAGTGGGTGAAGGTGGTGGTGAATGCCTCCCTTCGGGAAGGCAAAATTCCAGCCAGCTTAAAGCAAGCTGTAATAAAACTGCTGTTGAAGAAGCCATCACTGGACCCCACTCAATTCGTCAACTATCGGCCTGTTTCCAATCTCCCCTTTTTGGGCAAAGTCATGGAACGTGTGGTGGCCTCACAACTCCAGGCATTCTTGGTAGACACGGATTATCTAGATCCGGCACAGTCTGGCTTTAGGCCGGGGCATGGTACCGAGACAGCCTTGATCGCCTTAGTGGATGATCTGCGTCGGGAGCTCGACAGGGGGAGTGTGTCCCTGTTGGTGCTGCTCGACCTCTCAGCGGCCTTCGATACCGTCGATCACGGTATCCTTCTGGGACGCCTCGCAGGGATGGGTCTTGGAGGTACTGTTCTGCAGTGGCTCCGCTCATTCCTCGAGGGTCGGTCCCAGATGGTGTTATGGGGAGATTCCTGTTCAACCCCACAACCTTTGTCTTGTGGGGTTCCTCAGGGTTCAATACTCTCCCCCATGTTGTTTAACATCTACATGAAGCCGTTGGGCGAGGTCATCCGGAGTTTCGGAGTGCGGTGTCATCTGTACGCAGATGATGTCCAACTCTGTCACTCCTTTCCACCTGCTACTAAGGAGGCTGTCGAAGTCCTGAACCGGTGCTTGGCCGCTGTGACGGTCTGGATGGGGGCGAACAAATTGAAATTGAATCCAGACAAGACAGAGGTACTCCTGGTTAGTCGTAAGGCTGAACAGGGTATTGGATTACAGCCTGTGTTGGATGGGGTCGCACTCCCCCTGAAGACACAGGTTCGCAGCTTGGGGGTGATCCTGGACTCATCGCTGAGCCTGGAACCCCAGGTTTCGGCGGTGACCAGGGGAGCCTTCGCACAGTTAAAACTTGTGCGCCAACTGCGACCGTACCTTGGGAAGCCTGACTTAGCCACGGTGGTCCACGCTCTGGTTACATCCCGTCTTGATTACTGCAACGCTCTCTACGTGGGGTTGCCTTTGAAGACAGTCCGGAAGCTCCAGTTAGTCCAACGGGCGGCAGCCATGCTTCTAACAGGAGCTGATCGCAGGGAGCATACAACTCCCTTGCTGAACCAGCTCCACTGGCTGCCGATATGCTACCGGGCTCAATTCAAAGTGCTGGCGTTGGCCTTTAAAGCCCTAAACGGTTCTGGCCCAACTTATCTATCCGAACGTATCTCAGCCTATCAGCCCACCAGGACCCTAAGATCTTCCGGAGAGTCCCTTCTCTCTATCCCTCCAGCTTCAGAAGTGCGGTTGGCGGGAACGAGAGATAGGGCCTTCTCTGTGGTGGCCCCTCGGCTTTGGAATGCCCTCCCTACAGAGGTACGTTCAGCCTCGTCGCTGATAGTGTTCAGAAAAAGACTCAAAACGTGGCTATTTAAACAAGCCTTCGGCTAATTTGTAACAATCAAGTCGAACCTTGTGACTATGGACAGGAATATGGACTGCGAATTTTGGAATGTGACTTCAACTGAGCTATACGAGATTATTATTGGTGGCCCAATAATTTGCTGTTGTACTGTAATTGATTTTTATATTTTTATATGTTTTTAAACTGGAGATTGTTTTTAAAATGTTGTAAACCGCAACTGAGTCGCCGTCCAGGCTGAGAAGTTGGCGGTATACAAGTGTACCAAAATAAATAAATAAATAAATAAATTTATAAATGCAATGACAAAAGTGTTTATTGCAGCCCCCCACCCCCACTCCAGCAACCATGGGGTTGTCAACACCGCCATTTTCCCACAGTATGGCACAAGGGATTTCTTTTTCCTCCTTGCTTTTCTTTAAAGTACACACTGAGTAAGTACCGAAGGACTGCCAGGCTTACCATGATCCTTGACCAAAGCTTCCATCTCCTCCTGAACTCCTTTGTGCCATTCGGTGATGTCCAAATGCAAAGAGTAGTCGCAGCAGGATTTGCTGTCCGCCCATTCTCGCCACTGGTCAAATGCCGAAAGCAAACTGGTGCCCGGCTCAGGAATGACATGGTCAACTGAAGACATAAAAATAAAAACACATGTTGTAGGTAAGTCATTCGGGTTTTGTTTTTGGTTTTTTTGGGGTTTTTTTAGAATCGTAGTACATATAGTCGCACTTTCCAACACTGTCCAAACTTGCTCTGGCCGGAGAGAAGACAGAGGGGAGCAGAAGACATTTCCATCTTGTCTTTACTAATAATATAATATAGTATATTGTATATAAATATAATATTTATAATATTACAATGTATAACAATATAATAATAATAATAATAATAGTACAATATTATAATTATGTATTTCCATTACATCTAATATTACTAATAGTATTACAATATAACGATATAGTGCAATATAACAACAACAATTTTTATTGATTAGCCATGTAATGTTCGTTTGTGGGATTAACAGAACTCAAAAACCACTGGACTAATTGACACCAAATTTAGACACAAGACGCCTGACAACCCAATGTATGTCCTTCACTCAAAAAAAATATATGATTTTGTCATTTGGGAATTGTAGTTGCTGGGATTTATAGTTCACCTACAATCAAAGAGAATTCTGAACTCTATCAATGATGGAATTGAACCAAACCTGGCACACAGTTCTCCCATGACCAACAGAAAATACTGGAAGGGTTTGGTGGGCAGTGTCCTTTGGTTTTGGAGTTGCGGTTCACCTACATCCAGAGAGCACTGTGGACTCAAACAATGATGGATCTGGACCAAACTCTACAAGAATACTCAATATGCCCAAATGTGAACACTGGTGGAGTTTGGGGAAAATTGAATCTTGACATTTGGGAGTGGTAGTTGCGGGGATTTATAGTTCACCTACAATCACAGAGCATTCTGAACCCCACCAACTATAGAATTGGGCCAAACCTCCCACACAGAACCCCCACGTGGGCCACAGCAACACGTGGCAGGGGACAGCTAGTACATAATAAAAACAAACAGTCAATAATTATAAATAGTTAAAAACATTAAAACAATACAATTAAAATCTACTAAGAATTTCCACTCTGGTGGCCATTATTAGCCAGAACTGTGATTGGATGCTCCATCAAACGTATCCATAATCCATTTTTCAACATTGTTATTGTCACTGTCCGCTTAATTACCCCAAGGCCTGGTCCCACATCCATGTTTTTAACTTTTTTCTAAAGTTAAGGAGGGATGAAAATGACCTAATTTCCCCGAGGAGTGAGTTTCATAGGTGGGGGGCCACCACTGAGAAGGCCCTGTCCCTCGTCCCTGCCAACCGTGTTTGAGACAGAGGCGGGGGTGAGAGCAGGGCCTCCCCAGAAGATCTTAAACTCCGAGATGGGACATAGAAGGAGATACGTTCGGACAGGTACGCTGGACCGGAGCCGTATAGGGTTTTATAGGTCCAAACCAGCACTTTGAAGAAGGCCACAAAACACAATTTTTTGGAACGGAGGCACTGCCACCAAAATTTCAAGCTTACACTACAACCCATGAATGTGGTTTCGGGGCACAAAAATAGCTTTTGGTCTCACACAGCCATCCCTAATTTAAGCTCAGGAAATCCAGAAAATACTCATTGGGTTGAAAATGATTCATTACCCCATTTTGAACAAAACAGAGCCCACATTTGAAAACAAAAGGACATTCTTTGCATTGCTCATAGCAAATAACTGCAGACGGCTTTCTCCAAATTCCTAACCTCACATCAGAAGGAGTGATGAGGAACAGTGTTCCGTATCCCAGGAGACTGGTTTGCATTGCTTTTTTAGTTGCTTGGAGTGGCTGCCCCTTGCCTTTCTCTCAGGAGCTGCTGCAGCCTTGCAAAACATGGAGTTTAACAGCCAAAGGCGGGAAAAGCCAGCCTGCAAACTCTTTGCAATGATTGGCCGAGGGAGCAGCTCTTTGAGCCCACCTCTGCTCCCGGGGAAAGACTTCCATTTTGGAGTCCTCCTTGCCTGTTCAGTTCTGAAGAAAGAATCTGATGTGCTGGTGGCCAGACAGGTTGTTCCGACAAACCACTGTTAAAACTATTTAGAACAATTGAGAATTGAGAAATTAAGATAGACAGAGAAGTTTATTGAGAAGAATTGAGCTATAGTTAGATAAGAGTATAAGAGAGTTAAAAAGTATAAAGAAAAATAGATATTAAGCGTTGAGAATTGAGTTTTATAGAGTCTTATAGAGAGAGAGAGACTGCATTTCCTTATCTCCAAGGCTAATCTGGAGCTTAGATAGATAGGGAAAGATTTGTTCTTTCTAAAAGGCAACAGATCTGGATTAGGGTGAAGGATCCCTGGATCCCTTTGCCACTTGGGGAAAGGCTGACTCAGTAACTGGTGGAGAAGAGAAAGAAGAAATATCTATTTGGTTTTATCAATTGACTGTTCTGTTTGCAACTTTGAGAAATAAATATCCTTTTATGATGTTCAGAACTTGTAATAGACTCAGTTGCGGAGAATCTCAATTTTCTCAAGAAAAGCACCGGCAGTTCGCCCAGACATAAGGAACAGCACATCATAGTTTGGTTTTTAAAAGTGTCTGGGTGTAACGGCACAAACAGAAAGAAGAAGTGAGCAGAAGAAGCTGCCTTCAGAATGGTGCATGAAAGCAATGCCTTCACATCTTGCAATTCCCTTTTAATTTTTCTGAAAATTCAAAACTGCAGTAAGACGAGATTGGCATAATTCTGGATCTATATAAATAAATCTATATAAATAAAAATGTAATGTTTGTTTGTGGGAGTAACATAACTCAAAAACCACTGGATGAATTGCCGCCAGATTTGACCACAAGACACCTACTAACACAAGGAGTGACCATCACACACAAGAAAATTGATTTTGTCACTTGGGAGTTGAAGTTGCTGGGATTTATAGTTCACCTACAATCAAAGAGCATTCTGAACTCCACCAATGATGGAATTGGACCAAACGTGGCACACAGGACTCCCATGACCAACAGAAAACACTAGAAGTGTTTGGTGGGCATTGACCTTGAGTTTGGGAGTTGTAGTTCACCTACATCCAGAGAGCACTGTAGACTCTGGACCAAACTTGGCACTAATATTGCATATGCCCAAATATGAACACAGATAGTTTGGGGGAAATGGACCTTGACATTTGGGAGTTGTAGTTATTGGGATTTATAGTTCACTTACAATCAAAGAGCATTCTGAACTCCACCAATGATGGAACTGAACCAAATGTGGCATACAGGACTCCCATGACCAACAGAAAACACTAGAAGGGTTTGGTGGGCATTGACCTTGAGTTTGGGAGTTGTAGTTCACCTACATCCAGAGAGCACTGTGGACTCTGGACCAAACTTGGCACGAATATTCCATATGCCCAAATATGAACACAGATAGTCTGGGGGAAATGGACCTTGACATTTGGGAGTTGTAGTTACTGGGATTTATAGTTCACCTACAATCAAAGAGCATTCCGAACCCCACCAACGACAGAATTGGGCCAAACTTCCCACACAGAACCCCCATGACCAACAGAAAATACATCTAGTCCAACTCTCTTCACCTGGGCAAGAAAACGTAATCAACAACACATCTCCAATGACTTCCACAGCTTTGTCTTTCTCAACTGCCAAGTATACCTGCCCTGTTTGGCACAAGTCTGCCCGTGCAAAGCAGGTAAACATAGCATTGAACGAAACATGCAGAATAATCACAGGATGTCTTAAACCTACACCTGTTGATAAACTCTACAAGCTAGTTGGCATTGCTACCCTGATGTGTGACGGGAAGTTGCTGCTAAATGCGAGAGAAATAAGGTTGAACACTGTGAAAGCCATCTACTGCATCACTATCGGCCTCTTCCCAGTAGACTCAAATCCAGGAAAAGCTTCATGAGCACCACCACTCCTCTTAATGTTCCCCCAGCAACTTGGAAGTCCCTGAACAGACTCAGAAGTGGAGTGGGCAGATCAAACTACAACTTGGCAAAATAGCACTACCTAAAAGAAACCCACACCTTGTATGACTGTGGAGCAGAAGAGACAACTCCGCATTTGTGTGCTTGTCCACTGTGCTCTGCCTCATGTACAGAGGAAGAATTGTTGGAGGCTACAGACAATGCCGTTGCTGTTGCCCGTTTTTGGTCAAAAGATATTTCGCTGCCTTATCAATTTTTATCAATTTTATACTAATTTATTTATGCAATGCTTTTGATATGAAATAAATAAACAAATGACTCCATAGGTCCTGCAGAAGATATATTTTTGGCGTGACGTTGGAGATGAATGGACACATTTATTTATTTATTTATTTATTACTGTGCTTATATACCGCCGTTTCTCAGCCTAAATCGGCGACTCAACGCGGTTTACAACCCAACGACAAGCAGCAATATTCCATTAAAAAGCATAAAAACACATACACAATACACAATATTATTGGGCCACCAATAATAATCCAATGCATCTCTTAATTGTAGTCGCAATCCAATTTCATCGTCTGTGATTAACCAATCCTTGTTCATCAGTTTCGTTGCACCAGATTAATCGAATGCTTGTTTAAACATCCATGTCTTCAACCTTTTTCGAAATACCATCAGCGAAGGGGCTGATCTCACCTCTATGGGGAGGGCATTCCAAAGCCGAGGGGCCACCACAGAAAAGGCCCTGTCTCACATTCCAGTTCCTCTCCAACGTCATGAAAATGAATGAAGGAGGAAGGTTTGCATTGCTTACAAGATGGAGTGGTGGTGAACAGAACCCACGGTCCACAATTCCCACCCACCCACTTGTGTCAGGAATGACTTGAAAAACTGCAAGTTGCTTCTGGTGTGAGAGAATTGGCCAATTGCAAATACGTCACCCAGGGGACGCCCAGACGTTTTACCATCCTGTGGGAGGCTTCTTTCATGTATGAGAAGGTTGAGCTGACAGACGGGAGCTCAACCCACTCCCTGGATTTGAACCACCGACGTTTTGGTCAACAGATTTGGCCGCCTGCAAAGACGTCGCCCAGGGGACGTCCAGACGTTTTACCATCCTGTGGGAGGATT